ACTATCTATCATGGGTGATATTATCTATAGATGACCTAAGGGAGCCATCTTGGATGGATCACATCATCTCCTTCCTCTAAGACGGAACACTGCCAGATGATGCTACTATAATGCTACTGCGTCAATTGGCCTCCGACGTATGGCTTCCAACTTCATCCTTATTGGGGATGAACTATATAAAAAGGCATTTGTAGGTCCATACCTCAACTGACTTCCTCCATCTGAAGCTAACTACGCCTTGCGAGAAGTTCATTCTAGAATATGTGGGGAGCATCTTAGGGGTAGAGCTCTTGCTTTTAAAATAATGAGACAAGGTTTATACTAGCCCACGATCAAGCAAGACGAATTAGAATTTGTGCAAAGGTGCAAGAATTGTCAACTACACTCCAATCTTACGCATGCACCATCAGTAGAACTCATGTCATTTCTGAGTCATTGACCTTTCGCCCAATGGGGGGTAAATATCATGAGGTCGTTTCCAATAGCTACTGGACAATAAAAGTTCATCATCTTAGATGTTGATTACTTCACCAAGTGGATTGAAGTAGAGTCGCTTGTCAAGATCAGTGAAGCAAATGTCAAACAGTTTGTCTGGAAGAACATTATTTGTCACTTTAGGCTCCTCACAAAGATTATAATTAATAATGAGACTCAATTCTCTGGAAGGTTCTTCACATCATTCTGCAAGGATCTTCACATTCAACTGGTGCACTCTATCGTGGCACATCCTCAAATGAATGGACAAGCAGAGCTGACAAATCAAACAATGATCAAGGGCTTGAAGACTCATCTTGAGAAGGCTGGGGGGCGGTGGATAGAAGAGCTACACAACGTCCTTTGGTCATATCGCACAACCACACGTACTCCAACTGGGGAAACTCCATATAAATTGTGCTTTGGCACTGACGTTGTTATCTCAGTTGATATCAGAGTTCCAAACCCGAAAGCTAAGACTTTCGATTCAGATAGCAACGAGGTAAAGCTCCGACAACATTTGGATCTCCTCCCAAAAACATGTGATGTGGCCCATCTTAGAGCTGCTTCCTACCGCCAAATAGTTGCTCGCCACTTCAAATGTATGGTCAAGCTTCGACCTATCTCCGTCAATGATCTGGACTTGCGTAGCATTGAAGCCGCTGATCATGGTCCCCAATGCAATAAACTATCAACTCTCTAGGAAGGCCCATATGTCGTGGTTGTCATGATCAAGCCTGAAACATTCAAGCTCAAAGATTCATATAAGAAAATCTTGACTTGGAATGCATAAAATCTTCGCAAGTACTATCAATAACATCCCAGTCATGTAGTCCACATATGTTATTATATTGCAACTCATACATAATCAATGTATCTCAAATATTACTCACTTACTTTTCTATGCATAAAAGATATATTTAGAAAGTGTAATAGCTCATTCACAAGTCACTTCATGCTCTCGACCCGAGAAATACACAACTCTGGTTGTGTCTTAGTCGGAGCACGATCAATTCCAAGGGGATTTGATCTTACCTTCTCCATATGGGTTAACATCGTCAAGTTTTTACTCTGGTAAACAACCTTGAATAGGTTAACATTCATTGGTGGACTACACCTGACCCATTCCACAAAGGTTCGTAAGCGAGCAATACTCCAACAAACAACCTCAGATGGGTTGCTAAGTCCTCGGTGGACTTCCGTTGGCTCCTCCTATACAAGTTAACATCATCGAGTAACATTATCATGCATAGCCTCAACAAAGTTAAAGGTCACTGGTGATTTATCCCACGGTAATCTTCCTACATGACATTGGACATCCAATGTGTCGTACTGCCGCAACGTATTGCTTCGCCATGACACAGCACCACAACACTTCACCACAACCATTCTCCGCAACTCTTCGTCGCAACACTTTGCCGCAACCATTCTTTGCAACTCTTCGCCGCAACGGTTTGCCGCAACACTTCGCCGCATTGTTTCGCCTCAACACTTCACTGCAACGTTTCGCCGCAACTCTTCACCGCAACAAGAAAGAAGATTCCGTACCGCCGGCTGCCGAAGACCACTGTCAATCCCCGCTGACCTCCGTCAACCACCGTCGACCGTCATCGACCGTTGTCGACCACTGCTGAGCAGACGCCGTCAGTCAACGTACCTTGAAAAATCTAGTAACAATTTCTCGTCTATGGGACACGGGATCTATGTAATCATCAACTTATAGTAGATTTTTATAAATGAGTCAGATCCCGTGGTTTTTTTCTTTACGGGTTTTTCACGTAAAAACTTCTAGTGTCATCACGGGTTGATTCCCTTTCATCTTAGTATGTGTTGAATCCTCATGCAACACTAAGATGATAATTCATTACTTTACGGTAGTGAATTCTCTAGCACACTTCAATATATATATATATATAATCTAATAACTAGAAGGCCAAAAAAATTAATAATCAATTAAAATTTTTAGTTAAAAAATGAATAGAATATTAAATGATATTTAATGAATATTTTAATATAAATAATAAGATTTAAATCTCCCATCTACCCTTAAAATCCTACAGCTACATGAGTAAGGGTATCAAAACTAGTCGTAGTTCACAAACAGCTTGTGTTAGGCTCGCTAAGTAAACGAGCCGAATACAAATAACTTTTTTGAGCTCAATATATAAACAAAGCCTAACTCACACAGTAATACTCTTTTAAAGAGCCAAACACGAGCCTAGGCTCACTCTAACTCGGCTCGTTTACACCCCAATATAAAGCAATGTAAAGAGGTCTGGAGAAGGAGGCGGCTATGGTAGGGTGGAAGTCAGGAGATCTATTCACTGCCAATGCAAATTCAGAGGCTTCCTCTTTCACAAATAATTATTGCAGGACTTCATATGATGAAAGTTAAAGGAGCACTTTTTTTTGTGTTCATTTTTAAGTTTAGATGCTTATTCATAAATATATTTAGATGTGAATATGTAAATATTAATATTTTGTGGCTATTTATGTAAAAGCCCTTATTAAAAAAAATAATTTTACAAAGTTTTTTTATCTCTTAGGAAAACATAGGAGGCAAAATAAAATCGATAAGAAAAAAATACCTCTTTTTGCATAGGTAGGGTGGCATAAATGGCTTTCAAAAAGCTCGTTGTTCGCGAACACCTACGTTCAACTCATTTAATGGTTGATTCATTCACTAAGCAAATAGGTCGAAAAAATTAAAACACGCACGCAAGCACGCATACACTCTGACGGGAAATTGAACTTATGCATTACATAAACTAAAACAATCTAGTCATACAAAACAAACTAAAACACGCACGCAAGCACGCACACACTCTGACGGGAAATTGAACTTATGCATTATACATCCGAACAGACATTGCAGTACGAGTACATAAACTAAAACAATCTAGTCATACAAAACAAAACACAGTACCAGAATCACAATTAGATGGTAGGAAAGTCAACCGTCTATCGCTTCATAATTTCTGTAGTCTGTTCAAATTTTTCTCACAAGTAAACGGATAGTTCCAAGAACATTGGCCCCGCTGAAGATTTGCAAACTACAAACTGGCACCATTAAGATTCGCCCCACATATGAAGGCAACTTCCAGATTAGCTCCTTTTAGGTTGGCATTCCTTAACCTGGCACCTTCCAGATTAGCTCCTTGTAGGTTGGCATTCTGCAAATTAGCCGATCGAAGAACGGCTCGGAAGAAGCTACATCCAACCAAGCATGCATTTTGTAGATTTGCACTCCGGAGGTTAGCTCTATCTAATACAGCCCCGGAAAGGTTTGCCCCAAGGAGCTCACATTCAGACAATCAAATCTTCAAAGATTGAGCCTTCCCCTTCCACATTCCCAAGTTTAGCCCCATGGAGATTTGCACTTGAAAAAGTGGTCTTTCGAATGCATGCAAAACCTAAGTCTACAGATGACAGATCAAGTTTAGAAAGATTTAATCCTGATAGATTCACTCCCCGGAACCTAACGTTAGCAGACTGAATTATTTTGATCATCTCTTTTCGCGTAAGGTCGGCTTCCGAGATGCTTTCATCCTTCTTCCTGCACATGTTTGACTTAATACATTCAATCACTCCCGGCAATTGATAGTATTCTGCTTCTCCAAGTAATTCTTGGTACTCCATGTCTGTGAGTGTAGGAAGAAGGCCATCTCTAAGCCAATTCAATATGCGTCGGAATTGTTTGCCATCCCTGTCGACAAACACCATTCCCGTTTCAGAATCCCGGCAGACAGTATGTCGTCCGCTAAACATTGCTGCAAGCATTGAATAAGGCTCGCGTTGAGAAAGTGTATCTACGGTAGTTGCAAATTTCTTCCCTCCTATGTTGAGGATGACCGGCGAACACTCTGTGTTCGATCCGATCGCTGCTCCTCCGCCCTTTGCCTTTGCAGGTTCGACTCGCGCGGGGAAGACAAAGCGTTGGGAAGCCAGTAAGGCAAGAACACCCTTTTTGCTTTCATTTCACAATAAAGTATTATTTATTCTCTTTAGTTGTTTTGACCGGAAATATTTAAATTATATATATATAAAAAAAAAGAGTACTATTTTTAAATAATTTAATTGACTACAAAATTACAAATATTTATAATCAATTAAAATTTTTAATTAATTAATTAATTAATATATATTAAATTTTATTTGAATGAATATTTTAATATAAATAATAATATTTAAATCTCGCTCCTACCTTTAACATTCTACGGCTGCATGACTAGAGCTATCAAAACGGTTTGTTGTTCGTGAACTCGCTTTCCAAGCAAACAAGCAGAACACCAACAATTTTTTTGAGATCGATATATAAACGAGCCAAACATGAACAATAATATTTTCTATCAAGCGGAACACGAACCGAGACTCGGCTCGCTCAAGCTCGGCTTGTTTACACCTACTCACTACAAGATATGAACTTGATCTACTTACAGTGATCAATTTACAAATCTATCAGCTCTGCTGATAAAAATTCTATATCTGAAGATCAAAATGAATAAACTAAAAGGACAAAAACAATGAACAGAATAAAAAAAGCCACAAATTATGTAAAAAATACTTATCTCAAGTGTTCCACCTCTGCTATAATTAAAGTCCATTTCCCACTAAGTTAAAAAAACAAATAAGAAAGAGAAGGAAAAAAAAAAAAACTGCATGAATGTGATTACAACTTAAAAGAAATTGCTCTTTTCTCTTAACCGGCTTCCGAACATAAGAATTAAACAATGGAAACCAAAGCACTGCCGTAATCACAGATGCTGCTGCTTCTTTCCACAACGACACTGCCATGAATTGCCTAAAATCTGAATTCCGGATCGACATCCATTGCCCATGCAAATTTTGCAAGAAGCGACTTGTTGAATATCTGAAGCAAACAGAAAATGAGTCCATTTTTTCAATGAAGTAGAAGATAAACTACATGTTCTTTTTGACAAAACATTGACAGTCAAGTTGAATGTGATCAAAATAAGAACCTCAGTATAATTTGACGACATAGAAATAATATATTTATTAAAGAATGAGTATATGACAAAGTTAATGAAGCTCAGAATCTATTAAAATATAATAATGAAAAGCAAAATTTAAGCTTTTTGAGTATATATAAAATGAAGGGCAAGAAAAAATAGGAGATAAGATTAATGTAAGAGAATTACAAAAGTTAGATAAGGCCAATATTTATGAAAACATCATATAAGTAAGCCACAAATGTTTTGATGTCAGTCAAGAGTTAGTTGACAAAATACTATTATGTTATTGACAATAGTGTGCACTTGACAAATATGATTGCAACCTATCTTGTTTATAATGGTCATCATTCTATTACAAGGAGCAGTGGTACACTAGAAAATATAAAAAACTGATGCAGAAGGTTGAGGAAGGACCACTAAGGCCACTATTATATGGCGCATTTACATACATACCGCCCAATTTCTATGTATTTACATATCTACACCAAGAATTTACTTTTTTACATTTACACCACCCAAATCTTTCAAGGCACAGAAAAAATACCACCATTTGAACTTGAAAAGAAAATGAAAGGCACCTCTTAATGCATAGGTAAGATGGTATGCATGTAAAAATTGAAGTTTAGTGTGTTAGATCTGTAAATACATAAGAATTGAATGCTATGTTTGTAAATCTTCCTATACTGTATATAAACACATTGCTTGGTGTCGTAGGTCAGCTCATGAATAAAAGTGGCATGAAAAAAAGGGTAAAAAAACTGTTAAGTTTTGCTCGTGAAAGTTGGATTCATCTTCTGCAGAGTAAATCACTGAGTCCTAAGCTGAATAACTCGAGTTAATTTTATCTCCTTTTCTAGAATCGAAACAGAAGATGCAGCACGGAATGGACCAGAAAGAATGAAATGATATACCTTCTCAATGGGAACTTCATTACGCTTACACCATGCAACAGATATCCTAGGATCAAGGTAATTAATCTTAGAAGTGCCTAGAGCAACGGTCTTAAGATCCTCCTTGGTCTTCTTACTCAATTCCATTTTCTCTATTTTATGATCGATCTGAACAATCCTCTTCTCCAATCTGCAAGGTTGACATAATTAAGTGGCCAGAAGTAAAGATTTACAAATCTAAGGCATCGTGTGTTGAAATCCATACAGCTCAGGGGCCACATTCTTTTTCAATTTTCCATCTGAATCCTTCCCCAAAGGCTTCCCTCTTTTTGCTTTACCCAAATCAACCTCGAGCTCCTTCCTTTGGACCTACAAGAATCAGAAGGAAAATTAACCAACAAACTCAATATCTGTATATATAACCAAAGAAAAGGTCTGTCAACAATAAAGACCTTCAGCTCATTTATCTTTTCATCTAATCTCGACATCTGGGCATCATGAGACTTTGAAACACTTCGTTGATGATTGCAGATTATAGCGACCTAAAATTAAATGAGGATACGGAATGACAAATATATAAACAGTGATATTCAATATCATTAAGCAAAAACTTTCAAATTTTACAGTGCAAGAATCGACAATTACCTCTTTGTTAGCTATCTGATATACTGCAACCTTTTCTAGTACATTTCCATCCTTGGTTTCTTTACTCAACTATTTAAATGAATAAAGTTGTTATAACATCTTCAATTACATTAGTAAAAAGGCATAATAAACATGATCATACAAAACAAATTCAGTGTAACCACAAAAAAATCCAATGTTAAGTTAGACCAGATCATTTGCCAAAACCAAGCATAAGGATTGCCATAAAAACTAGCAATGTCGTAACTATAAATTACATAGTGCTGGTTATAAGATAGTGGGACCAGCCAGACAAAGGCAATTCTTAGAAGCCTAAATATATAAATGTTTGTATAATCAAAATTATAACCATCTTCCAAAACTAGTTCATAATTTTCTCTTGAATATTTGCATGCACGGTTAGCAAAAATAAGAAGAAAAAAATAGAGAACTTCAAACGATATTTCCGCACAAATCGTATATTACTGCATCAAGAAAATCTACATTTGAAACTTTTTACCGTATTTTTTGATTTACTGGCAATATAATATAGTATGACAATTATCATCAACAATGGCACTAGATCACTCATCATATCATTTGTTGTTTACCAACTACTTCAGGATGGGGATATATAATATGCCATCTAACTCCAAACATTCGGTGTTGTAGATGCTACATGACATCTAACAAGATATACGTGTAGAGAAATCCAAATGTATCAGAAATGAAAATTTTAATCTAGGAAAAAATTATTACTAAGGCTTGAGAGTCTAAAGGAGACTCCTAAATTAAACAAGGTTGCGTAGTTTAGTATTTTATCAAACTCATATAGGGAAAATAAAGGTTTTACAACTACTGCAACAAAATTTGATTTATGAAATATTATTTTTGGAGAAAACTTTTCTGCTACAAGTAAGATTACCATATCATCCAATGTAATGGAAGCATTATATGTACGGAAAACTTTAGCAGTAAGGCCGGGCATGAGTTCCTTCAGGTGAGCATTGAGTTTACTTGTATCTAACAAATCGAAAAGATCATCTCCTTCAGCTTTCTTCCTTCCATCAGTCTTTTTCGCTAATGAAGTATAGAAAAAAAGTAAGGAAATAAATGATTAGCAATGTGATTATCAAATGGATACAACACAATTATAATCTAAACCACGCTTACCAGATTGGAACTCTCCAATTGCTTTGTAGACAGGCAACTCAACTTCCACAGTATTGAAATATCTAATAGAATCTTTACCGAGAAAGTCAAACTGGATTAAAAAAAAAAGATAATGCTATAAGAACCAGATCCAACAAAAAATCAAACTTTCAAACAAAATCTATATACCTGCAACTTGTTTGGTGGAAGTAGTGTAACATTCTCCACTTTCAAAGTGCAGCAACCAACAGTATCAGCCTCATCATCATCCTAGAATGCACTCAAAAAGTTCTACTGAGAAGACTTGTCTTGTATCAAAATAAACAAAGCAATTTTTCTTTTAAAAGAGTTGCCATCCCAATACAAATCAATGCAACAATACAAGCACAACAACAAAGTCATTAATTATTGACAAACAATGCCATCCTGTTTCCTACTTTCTGCATTCTTTAAGAAATGAAAACAAGAAATTAATTATTTTTGGTCTTTTCAGGTTTTTTCATAGACTGATATTTTGTTAATTGCATCATTAATTGGATCTAAATGACTAACTTGTGCATGTTTTGGTATTGTTGGAATCTGGGAGTGGAAAGGGGTAGGGTGTAGCAGAATTGGGTGAGAAACCAAGATCAAAAATTTCAAAGTTGCTACAGATCATCTATTTTCAATGTCTTCTATCATAAACCTTTTATAAACATAACTGATATAGAGATAGAGGATTCCCTCCAGGAATTTAGAACATGAATCTCTATATAGAAGCTGATTCAACCAACGTTCTCAGCCATTAAGAACTTCACATCCATGAATCCTATATTATTCTTCTTCACAGAGAAATGATGGCTTTTCATATGCGACATTGACTCATGTACAGCAGGACAAATAAAATCAAGCAAATGTAAAGGTAAAAAATGTACATTCTTTGCCATTTGTTTCATTCAAACAGTGAAAGCATATAAAAAACATTCAGCAAAATTGTATCAATTGAATAAATCTCATAAAACCAGCATACATACATAAGTGAGAAATGGATAAAGTTCTATTAATTGAAACAAGATTTAAGAGCATAATGGAAAAACGTTGTTTTAAACAATAGGCAAAAGGTTTATGAAAATTTCCAAAGTAGATTACAGCGGTAATTTCACTACTATATACAATATAAAATTAGAGAAATGGCATGACGACCACATTTTTCTAATTAAATTTAAATGGAAGCATCTCAGGTGAAATTATGGGATTTATTAAACTACGCAATCAGCATCCTAGTTCTACCACTGAATTTTTAATGAAAAGGCAAGATGATCTGTTAAAAATGTGCTGAAATGAGTAACTCAGAAGGCCAATAGAGAGACTATCTCATAAAATAGCAAGCTTCACATGCCAAATACAACAGGGTTAGCAAGCTCCACTGCCATAAAACTGATACAAAGAGCATGCAGAAAAACAGTGCAGTAATGGAAAGCATCCCTCGACACAGAATTTAAAATGTTAAGGGACATAATTGTTGAAGACAATTAAAAAAACTTACAAGGCTTGGAAAGTCTGAATCTATGACTTTCGATTAAAAGCTTAATGAGTAACATTCATGCAATTGACTTGAAAGTGATCATTAAGTAGAATAGTAGACTACCGCCGCATATCAAAATATTCATGAAATTGATAGATCATAAAGTAGAATAGCATATCTTGCCATGCCTGTCTGTAACTTGCCACATTTATAAGTATCCGAGCATGTCAGAAAATATCAACAAACCTCATAAAAGCACTATGCAGGGCACAATTACATAATAAGAAACTTTGCAATATAATGATAGGGAAAGTTGGAAGTACAAGATATGAACAATAACGTCATATAGCCGACAAAGTAACGCAAGTTTAAAACAAAAAAAGTAAAGCAAAGCTTGACGAGGACAACACATTGATTGCAGTTATACCTTCTCATTGCCCGCCCTTAGTGCTAGCTTATCAATAAGATAAGTGGCTACAGCAATCTGTCTCTTTGTAGCGTCTTTACTGTTAAAATCTTTCGTATAGTTTGCACGAATGTTTTGTATGTATTTCTGCCCAAACAAAAAAAAAAATTGATTTTCCCATAATATTACTGGAATAAAAATGAAGATAACCAGAATGACAAAAGCTCTAACGGCCTCTGTTCATTAAGAGTTACCTCTCATAATACATTCATGTTAAGGCATGTTACCTTCAACATTCTTGCCTTTTCATACTTCTCTTTGTCACTTTGACCCTTCAAAGCGCTGCTAGCAGCCAGAAAAACATATTTGCACTCTTTTGAATTGATTGGATCACTCCAATAAGCAAGCCAGGTGACAGTATTATCATGCTTTACCTCTTTCCACCTGAAGAAAAGCAAGCATTGATAATAAATCATTTTATAATTGTCTTAGTTCTATAAGATTGTGATTGCCACCTTTCACCAGCTATAGGACACTCTGGAATTGGGGAACCTTTGCCAATGTTAATTGTAATGTCTCTTGGTCTAATGCGCCTTTTCAATTTTCCCATCTGCCACCGTGGAAACAATAAAGCAAACAAAAGAAATCATAAGCTGAAGTGAAAGACTAACTTATTTACAAGTCACATTCGGTTTAATTCAGGCAAAACAAATGCAACAAAGGGTTCAAACCTTCGGGTGTTCTCCACGACCGCGGAATAATCCTGGTGGTTCCACCCTAAAATTTCCAACCTGGAGGAAAAGAGTGACAGAACTGGGTAAAATACACCTATAAATGATGATTGAATATAAATAAGCATTCACAAAGCACAAAGACTATATGATGATGATAAATATTTTGTATGCAGATCATTTGTTGACAAAAGACTTATCTGTTAGCAACAAAAAAAGAAATAATATGATTAATTGAACACTTAAAACATCTTTACAAAGCATCACATGGCCTAAAAAAAGTTAAGCAAAAATTGAAGGACAAATAACAGATCTTGTTCAAATAAACTCCTATTCCCAAAAGCTGGGAATCATAGTATTATTTCTTGCTTAAACTGACCCACAAACATTTATTTAGGCAGCAAGAAGGATACAAACAATATTTCAAAAGAGAGCTGTACCTTCTCTTTTACTCCATCAACAACAGCCCACATATATTTCTCTTCTTGCTTCATCTTTTCTTCTTTTAGCTGCTTCTTTTCCTATAAGAGAAAATTATCTACATGTCATCCCAAGAGATATTCATACCTCGCTTGACAAAAACAAAAGAAAAAGAATAACTGTGCCGTATCTGGGCAACAAATTTAAATAACAAAATAGCAAGAACTGCATTCGGAAAACTAAAGCTCATAAAATAAGCATTCAATACATCTTAAGCTCAGTAATCATTTTATTCAGCTAAGAAAACAGAAAAATTCAAGTAACTACTTCTAGAAAGAATCTTCAGTAACACGTAGGATTGTTAATGATCTTTTATTAGTTGATGTGCTTTATTATTTTCATTTGATGAAACAATAAATCCTATTTGCCATCAAACTAACATTCAGCAGCCATATAAAACCTGCTTTAGTAAGACAATTGTGCGAACATATGCGTAAAACCCACTGAGCCAAAAATAAATTTTGATATGCAACAGTGGGTCTCAAATAGATTGTCAATTGGATACCAAATAAATGTTGGTTACTGTGAAATAAAAAAATAATAAATTCATATTCTATTCCAAAAGCTGCAGCAATAGGTCTCTCGAATGAATAGCCAATTCATGTTCAGCATTCTGCTTTCAGTTCCATCACCAAAAGATAAAAGGCAATATAAATTCATCTATACTCGTATGCTTAAAATGAGATAAACAACCTCACACATAAGCTTGTTAATTCTCAACTTTGCACCTGAATACCATGGCAGATTCTTAGGATAAACATATCTATGCCTATGTTTCCACAGTGCCTCCAACCCCCTCACCCAAAAACAACAAAGATTCTGAGGCATTAAGCTACAGAACTTACCTCTGAACTCATCTGTTTTTTCTTTTCCTTTTCCCTTAGATGCCACTCATAGATAGGAGTGAAATCGCAAAGCTCAAACTTTTTAATGACATGATTTTTGCCAAGTATTTGCCTCCAATCATTCATGAAGTTCTCAATGAATTTAGGCTTTGCGGCATAATCTGTGTCCTTCATGACCGCAAACATTGTTGCAACCTGAAAAATAAATAGAGAAATAAGAACAAAATGAATTAAAAAATATTTTGAAAACCTTAAAGCAAGTAACCACAACTATCATGAATGGTGCATCATAAATTAAGATGTTGCAAATCTTTATATAACATCACCTCCTCTTGCTCAGGAGTCAAATCAACTGGCTGACCATTGTAGAGCATTTTAATCCCATGAGGATTGTATGGCGGAGGAAAAATAACACCATTATGCTCCAAGGTAGTCCACTTCAGCCCTCCACCAGAGCCAGGAGGTACTTTAGATGACTTGGAATATTTTGAGTCCTTCATCATTTTCATCTTCTTACCATCCTTCTTAAAAGACGTCATTTTTTTAATTTCTTTCTTCACAGATACTGGACTTCCAGAAGAAACTGTCTTTTTAAATCTCTGGGAAATTGGTATATGGTCGTCATCAATCTTCTGCTCTTTCTTAACTAGTACTTCCTGTTTAAATTTAATGGAAGCTGAGCTATCTAGAAGTTTTGCTCTCTTAACAGAGGACTCATTCGAGTTATTAGTGTCATCAATAGGCCTTTTCCTTGAGCCTTTTGAGTGTTTCAAGCCATCAATTGATTCTTTCTTAATATACCCATTTGCCATAATTTTTGAAGATAAAGTTTTCTCATTGGAGTTTAATTTAATAGATGCAGCACCGTCGATCTTTGCTTGAAGTCTGAAAAGCAACGGTTTTTCATCTTCTGAATCAGTAGCAGATTCCTTGATGCTTACTTTTGCAGCTAGCAAGGAATTGCTTCTCTGAGGTGCTAAAGAAGCAGAATTAAATTTAGCACTTAAGGGAACATTATCATCATCATCAGAACCATCAGAACTTCTTGCTTTTCCATTTATTCTATCTGATGTGGTTTGGACAGAAGATTTATTTGTTAACCCACCGGCCATTGACTGCTTCGGTGCCTTTAGAACAGCCGTGGATTTATTTCCCTTTGAAGATGAACTAAGTCTAAAGCTTAAAGGCTTTTCATCGTCGGAGTCATCAGAATTCTCAGCCAAAAAAGACTTGCCAGAATGGGACGCCTTCATCTGGTCTCTAGAAACCAAATTCTGACCCGCTGAGCCTTTGGCATTGCCATGAACAAAAGCAGAAGCATTTGAGCTTACAGACTTGGGCTTTTCAGCTGAAATTTTGGAAGAAGGTGCAGGGCTATCTTTCTTCATCCGTAAACTCTTATCCTTGGAAGCATGCAAAATGCTGGATGTGCGTTCTGCAATAGACCCATCACTACTTTGAGATAATAACTTCCGAGAAGAGGAATTTAACTGATTTTGATTGGATGATGGATTAGCCCTCCTAAAAATTGTAGGTCCATCGTCATCTTCTCCATTGTCCGAAAAAACTTGGTTAATGCAACCATGAACCGCCATAATTCCTCTTCAATATCTGTCAGACTATTTTAAGCTTGCAATGTAGACCAAAGAATTAAATTAACATTGAACCAAGATCTCCAATTTTTATTGAGGGAAACAAAAAGATAAATGAATCCATGAACAAATAATTTGTTAGACAAAACTCAAACATAAGGAAAGACAAAAAATATACTGATAATACTCTGAATTCAGATCCCGTTTCTCCTCCGTTTAGCCTTAAATTCCGGATTTAGTAAATCCCGTTGGTAGGCGGATTAACAAGATTTAGCGGGGCTGAAGCACGCGAAGGGGGGAGGGAGGAAGGAAGAGAACGACGAGGGTTAGTCGGCAAGGAGCGGAGTGGAAAGGGGCAGGAGTTTCACAGATCTTTGTACGCCGCGATCCCGTCGTTGTTCCCAGGTAGCTCCAGCCGCGACTGTACCGCGAGCGTTTCGGAGGCGAGAGGAAGATGAAGTCGAAGGTAGACGATGATGGTTTCGAGCGAAACCGGTGAAGGTGAAACAAATAGGAAGGTAGGCGAGGTTTGCGGGCAGGAGACGAGGTAAGAGAGATACGATCGTGGGTTTGATATAAGTTAATTTTAAGTAATTTAATTAATTAATAATTAGCAATCATTAATCCTTTTTATTGTTGGATCGAATTATGGGTTGTGGGCAGCTTATTTGGTGCGGTGGCATTTTCGGTGGCGTTTTGAAAACGCACCTGGCCTGTTTGGTTTTGGCAGCTTTTGTGTTTTCAAAACGTTGAACCAGTGTTTTCACATCGCACCTCTCTAGGTGCGCTGACAGCTTACTAGTTGCGATCAGTCTTTTCCAAAAAAATAAAAATTTGTAGTAGACACCACACCTAGTTTATCCGCAGATTATTTTTAATCAGCTTATCAACAGAATATTCAATAAGCTGCAACTGACCAAAACAGACTCTATGGGTCCGTTTGGGGTAGCTTGTGCGTTTCATGATAAGTTGCTTATGCTGAAACGTGGCCTGCGGGCCAGCCGCAGGGGTCGACCCACGGCTTGCGTTTAGTGTAAAAACCCAAACACAGTTTCGGATAAGCTGGCGAAACGCGCGAATTAAACGGTATTGCGGCCTTTAGAAAACGCCGCCCGAACTTCTGCCCCAAACGGCTCTAATTAATTATAATCATATAAACATATCTCTAATTAATTATAATCATATAAACTTATGTTTAATTATTTATAATTAATTAATATAAATTAAATTACATATGAAATTTAATTAAGTTGTTTTTACGTACATATCATTAATAGTGTAAAGAAGCGAGCTAACCTCTTGTTCGTGTTCGACTCCTTTTAAATTATTTTTGTTCCAAATAGACTCATATTTAAAATTATTCGTAAAATATATGTTCATGTTGGATTCGTTCTTTTTCAATTTTGACTCGAATTGTTTGAAATAGAGGTGCAAGGCACCGTCCATAATATTTTATTTTAAAATCCATAATTCGGCTTTAAAGCTTTTCTCACAACTGAACTTCCTCTCTTTCCCTTTGTGGGACTAAAGCATGGTCTCGAAACGCGTGATCACCTGTTGTTCCTTTTATTCTTCTTTTCTGCATTATGTCATTCATGTAAGCACTGAACACTTCCTTTCCCTCTTCGAAGTTTTCTCATTTTCTTCTTTGCTCGTTGTGTTACCAACTTCCTTATTTGAAATTAGCGAATACCTGTTGTTCCTTTTATTCTTCTTTTCTGCATTATGTCATTCATGTAAGCACTGAACACTTCCTTTCCCTCTTCGAAGTTTTCTCATTTTCTTCTTTGCTCGTTGTGTTACCAACTTCATTATTTGAAATTATCTTTCATTTTCTCTTCAGCTTTCTCCTATCGCCTTCTTGATTTGTGCGACCGAACCTTTGCCTTAGCGCTCTAAGAGCAATGCCTAGGGCCTCCTCCTGATCTCCCTTCTCCTCTTTTAGTCTCCCGTGGTCGAAGCCCGTGCGATACAATCGCGCTTGGAGCTCGCAATAAAGGCAACGACGGGTTCGTAGCTTATGGTGACCATCAAAACTTCCTTTTGTTCGCTCCAACTTGAAAAAGGTAACTCTCACCTTCCTCCCTCTCACTTGCTTTGGGTCTCGAATCCCATAAATTCGTCTCCCTATGGGATTTACTAAATATTGATTTTGGGGAAACAAAGAATAAATGTGATTTTAGAATGGTGAGATTATGAGAGGCTTTTGTGTTGTTTATTAGGTTATTAAACTTATTTCAAAATTAAAAAAATTTTCAACATGATCAAACTAAAATATAGGTATTTATTATTTTAAGTATGTTAGTAGGTCTACATTCATAATTTCTTTCTTTTAAAAAATATTATAACAATATTAAATTAAATAACAAAAATAATAGTATTAATAACCGTCGATTAAGTATCACCTATTTTAATGAGTAAATAAATTTATTTGCATAATACTTTATATTTCATTTTTTCTAATTGGTGTATGATTAATAGTCGAATTGTCAAACTTGTAGAAGTATCTCGTTCAACGCCTCCAGGTAATTAACTTTTTTTTTATTAAAGAATAAACATACCCTTCTTTGTTAGGGGTGGTGATCAGTATTATTTGTAGATTTTTAGCTATTTTATAGGAGTATTAGGCTCTGTTCGGCGCAGCGCAGCTGCGCAACTTCCCAGCTTTTTAGTTGCAGCTACGCTGCCCAGGAAACTATTGTGAGGAAGTTGACTGTCTGTTTAGCGCAGCTGTGTGAAAATAGCTGCAGTGCAACTGTTTCTGGAAAAATGATTATTTTGTCATTGTTTGGTAAAACTGTTTAAAGAAGGCTGTAACAGTGAAATTTTGTAACTCCATAAGCAAAATTTATTATGTAATAAATTAGTGAAACTTCAAAGTGTTAATTAGTAATAAATGTAATTGTTGGGTAATTTTTTAGTAATTGTTATGTAATAAATTTATGGGATTGATTAATACATCTTAAAATGTTAATTTGTTAGATAGGTGAACATATGAAATAAAAGGCTTGTTATAGGAATGCCCTTATATTCAGTGGCACGAATGTATTAAATATATTTTTCATTTAGGATTTAACATATTATTAATAAACTAATTAATTTAAATTTTTTTTATCAAATATCGATGAAAACTTAAATGAAAGCCAATTAAAGGGATGTGTGTCCATTTTTTTTTCTCAAGTTGAAATACGCTTTCATTCATAACTTTTATACCATATAAATGTTAAAAGTTGTAAATATCAAACTTTGATGATCAAACACATATATTTTAATTTTTCATTCGGTTATGGACATGTAAAAGTAAATGTTGCTAAAAAAACTGTGAATTGTAGTACACATTTGTGCTATATATTACAACAAGAATTCATCGTTTACATTACAAAAGATTTCAGGGAGGTACATGACTACTGTTAAGTCCGAACTTCAATGATAACAGTCCAGAATTATATAAATACATCTCAAGTAATTGATAGCAAAAAGAGAGCAAAAAAAAAACTTTAAAACTATTACAATGACAATTAGCAAGATAATTATATTATTTTTAACATTTATGCGGTGTAGCTCCCGTGTCAGATATTGTTCAAGTGATGTTCTTCATTCTCGATCAATGTCATCTAGGGAGTCAATCGAACTGTCTGCCCAACAGAAGAAGCCGCACTATTCGGCGATGCTCCGTGGGCAGATATAAAATTTCCTCCCGTAGCTGTGTGGCTGACATGAGTCAACAGTAAGGGTTGGAGGCCACAGTGACAAAGTGCTCGTTGGGATGTCCCGAAAATCCGTGAGCTCATCTTCTCCTGAATGCAACAAAAGAGGAAATAATAGTGCAAGTGTAACAAGATCTTTATTTGTAAATGTCTCATTTTATTAGTACGACACATATATACATTGAATAAGAACATTTACAAAGTTTAGGAAATTGAGATATACCGTCAATACAAGTATGAATTTCGAATTACATAGCCTAAAAGAAACAAATTAAATAACCAAATAAGGACAAAGGATTTAACGTGGTTCGGTGATGATGACCGACATCCACGGGAAATGAATCAAATATATTCATTACTATGATAAAAAAAATAAACATCACTTCCAATCGACAATGTCTCATTGTCATTGCAAAGAGATGAAAGTAGACCAAAAAAATGTGTGGTCATTTTCTACATATACACTATATTCATTTCCTCATAAACAAAATAAAATGATGCATTCCATGTAGTTTTGCCAGAACAGACCAAAGGCATGCTATCCCAATTTCGTGAATTCTTTTGAGCAGCTTAACAAGAAATATATTCCTAGGGCATGCTAACCTCTTGTTAGTATTCAACTCCTTCAAAATTATTTTTGTTTGAAATAGGCTCATAATTGAAATTATTCGTAAAATATATATTCATGTTTGATTGAATCATTTCAATTTTGGCTCGAATTGTTTGAAATAGAGGTGCAACACACCGTCCATAATATTTTATTTTAAAATCCATAGATCGGTTTTAAAGCTTTTCTCACAACTGAACTTCCTCTATTTCCCTATGTGGGACTAAAGCATGGTCTCGAAACGCGTGATCCCCCGTTGTTCCCTATTCTTCTTTCCTGCATTATGTCGTTCATGTAAGCATTGAACATTTTCTTTCCCTCTTCAAAGTTTTCTCATTTTCTTCTTTGCTTGTTGTGTTACAAACTTCCCTATTTGGAATTAACGAATCTTTCCTTTTCTTCTTCCTGCCTTCTCCTATCGCCTTGCTGATTTGTGCAACCGAACCTTTGTCTTAGAGCTCTAAGAGCAATGCCTAGGGCCTCCTTCTGATCTCCCTTCTCCTCTTTTAGTCTCCTGTGGCCGAAGCCCGTGCGATACAATCGCGCTTAGAGCCCGCAATAAAAGCAACGGTGGGATCGTAGCTTACAGTGACCATCAAAACTTCCTTTCGTTTGCTTCTACTCTAAACCATCTAGGAAGGTAGCTCTCACCTTCCTCCCTCTCACTTGCTTTGGGTCTTGAATCCCATAAATTTGTCACCGTGCGGGATTTACTAAATCAGGATTTAGGGCAAACAATGAAGAAATGAGAATTAATAAGGGTGAGATTATGAGAGGCTTTTGTGTTGTTTATTAGGTTATAAAACTTATTTCGAAATTAAAAACTTGTTCAACATGATCAAGCTAGAATATATGAATATATTATTTTAAGTATGTTAGTAGGCCTACATTCATAAATTTTTTCTTTTAAAATATATTATAACAAGGATAAATTAAATAGAAAAAATAATAGTATTAATAACCGTCATTTAGGTAGCACCTATTTTAATGAGCAAATAAATTTATTTGCATAATACTTTATATTTCATTTTTTACAAATTGGTGTATGATTAACAGTCGAATTATCGAACTTGTAGAAGTATTACATTCTAATTAAGTATTTTTTATTAAAGGATAAACATATCCTTCTTTGTTAGGGGTGGTAATCATTATTATTTGTAGATTTATAGCTATTTTATAAGACTATTAGTCCTTCCCTTGTTGCTTTAATTATGTACTTGTTGTAGGCTCCAATTA